CTTCCTGTAATATATTCATTTCGTATCTTATCCCTTATCTTATCTTAATGATATCTGTTTGAATAACTTAAGTAATCTATTCTAATATTATAAAGAGGAAAGGTTTGTATTTTTGTATGTATTGAAATAACTCAAAAACTACTAGACCAATTTCAAAAATTCTTTCACCATTAAAATGCTGCGTTATCAGTGAGTAACTATATTATGTTTTTTTTTTCAATATTTCATACGGGTGAAATCGCGAGCAACAACTAGTAATTAAAATAAACGACCAAAAATTTCAGACTGACATTACTTTAGAAAACAAATTTTATCTTTCCGTCGCTCTCAGAATAGTTTAATATTAATTTAAGAACTACTTAATGTAGATTTAATGTACGAAATATGTATACCTCTTATTGTAGAATCCAACTCTGAGTATAGATATGCAGATATTTATTTAAATGACATTTATTAACTAGCTTTCGCCCGTGACTCCGTTCGTGTGGAATTGAAAAAAACAAAAGTGAATAGCCTATGTGTTCTTCCATACTATCCTCTAAAATGCCAAAGTTAATCGAAATCCGTTCAGCCGTTTAATCTACAAACTCTAACAAACATCCATCCATCTAAACTATCACATTTATAATATTGGTAAGAAGGTTATACAAAAACTAAAGTAAACAATTTTGATTTATTATTAGGAAGTTTGGTTTACTAAATCCACAAGCATGATGAATTTTATTGCATATTTTATTAGCAATTTGCAAACGATCCGAAGCCCAATTATTTAATAAAAAAACCGATAAAACCGGTTGTAAACGTCAAGAATTCTACATGTTTTGAACAACTTGTACAGGATATTTTTAATATTGAATTTATTTAAACAATCAACAAGTGCTTAATATATCCTTGAGCTAGGCTAAATTATAGTTTTTCAAATGAAATTTTTGATATTTTGAAATTACGACTAATACAAAGACATACAAAATATTATAAAGAGGAAAGATTTTTGTTTTTGTATATATTGAAATAACTCAAAAACTACTTGGCCGATTTTAAAAATTCTTTCAGCCTTAAAAAGGTTATTTATCTGTGAATAACGTAGGCTATTTTTTAATTTCACGAGAGAGAAATCGCAAGCAACAGCTAGTATATTAAAAAAATAAAACATGTCATAGTGTAAAAAAATTACATTTAAAACCAAATCGTCATTACAGATTAGTATAACTAAAACAGAGCCATTCAGTCGTAAACTTTTACATACATCTCAATGTCACAACCAGTTCGTTATTGATTTGTCGCCGGCAAAACATGACTCATAACCAATAAGCCCCTTTAACGCCTTAATAAAGCTAACCAAATTAACTTATAAAGAAATTTAAACACACTAATATACATAACAAACAACTAACAACATTTTCTTAAAATCAACAATTATATTAACAATTACATAATTAAAAACCACATTTATAAATCAATAGATTAAATAAATTTTAAATAAAACCTCTTTAGAATAAAAATACTGTCAACTTATAAACACAGATTTGAAAAAAGAACAGTTGCACGGAACGCGAAAAGTTTTTTCGAAATAACAACGAGAGGCGACCGCGTCGCGCGCTCGAAGATGCCGACTGAGTCATCCCATCTGAACGCAGAATCAAACGATCACTGGTATTATTTAATAATAGTAATTCCATTAAATATTAACGGCAGTTAAGTGGTCCTTAGTGTAGATACATTGAAGATTTTATTGACCAATTAACTGCAGTATATAGATTAAATTAGATTAAAACCATAACTAAAATTAACGTAAATTGTAACCAAATGTTTCAACTATAAAGCATATTTGAAACAAAAAAAAATCAAATATTTTATTAGTATAGGTTTTTATAGCACACCCATAAACATATTAGTTTTCTATCAGTGAGTTTTGTTACGAATGTTACATTAGTGTAAACCCACGGTTATATAAGAGTGCATCTTACGCAAGCTTAAGCACAAAGCGCAGTGTTAGAGCTTCGATGACGTCATCGCAGACAAACTCGTATTGTGTGTTTATTTATAACTTTAAAGGAAAACATACGTACTTAGTAATTCTATTAGAAGTAAATAAATTACAAAGTACTAATAAATTACTGTAAGCTGATTTAATTCCTAATAAATGTATGTTACCGTTAAATTTTTAATTCTGTCATTTTATAATCTGACTATAATAACAATGTGCATTATGAAAATATTCGATTTACGTTAAAGTTAACAAAATATTTGAATATAAAGGATAATTTGCGATAATAAATCCATCCATACGTCTTTTGCATTTGTAGTAAAGTATTTTTTTCCAAATAGGAAATTTGTCTTCAACATTTTATATCACGATTATTGAATAACTAGCTTACGCCCTCGACTCTGTTCGCGTGAAATTAAAAAAAAACATGTAGCCTACGTGTTCTTCCAGACTATGCTCTACATCTGTACCAAATTCCACCGAGATCCGTTCAGTCGTTTATGGTACATAAATCCATCCATTCATCTAAACTTTCGCATTAATAATATTAGTATTAATAACGTAAAACGAAATAAAATAAAACTGGAAAGATATCTGGTAATAAGGGAAATGACTCAACATCGCCAGACAGGAAAAGAGCCCGTCTGTGCGGTTTGTGCGTGTGTGCACAACACAAGTGTACATAAATGTAGGTACAATTAGGGAAACTGGTGGTGTTCCACAAGAAAAGCTACGATTTTTCTGCATTTTAAAACGAGACGCGGTACAAAAATACGCTTATAAATATATCTGTACGAAAAGTAATGTAAGGCTTGTTTGTTTTTATTATACCTTGGTTTGCACTCACTGCTGTCTAATTACATGTAGGTAGAGTTTGTCTAGTTGTAATGAACAAGGCATTTTTTCCTGAAGTGGAACACCGCGTAATTCCCCGACTGTACGCTTAGTATTACATTATAAAATCACTTAGCTTTAGTTATAAAGGTTCAATAACCTCAAATATATTTCTATATTAAGTTATTGTTAATTAATGTTAGCTCTTGGTTTAAAAATCGGTTTATTCATCCATAAGGTACTGGCAAGGTTAAAATCGGTAAGGCTACACTTATGAAGATAAAAATGTTGGAATTATTTTGTTATAATTTATCTTTTCTATTGATTTCAATCTGTATGTATACTAATATAATAAATCGTAAACACACTATTTCGTGGCGTAATATGCCAGCAATCACAGCACAATTTCGAATAATTCTTTTTTAATAAAAAGCCCTACACTTACGTCACGCTTTTTATATTTTCAAGCTATTAAACTTAGGGGGCCAATAAATTGAAAAAACCTTCATGTGGGAAGGGACCATAAACTATTACCAACATTTCAGAAGCAAGATTATTATGGTAACAGTAATTGACATTTGCAATTGAGAATATGACAGATGGAAACAGTAAAATAAAGTTTTTATCATTTCATGCGGATGTCGCACGGGAATAGTACATAAGAGTAGAAGTAAGAGGTTATCCAGAAGATGTATTTCTGTCTATTATTCTGGATTATATTAGGTTAATTTAGTTTATCCATCGTACGTAAATAGTTCAGTTTCCATGTTCAGCGTGAATGGTGATCACTGTTGCGTGAACCTTTGATATTGTATCCAAACCTTCAATCCGTTTCATTACATCGGGTAAACAGGTCAAGAACGTGTAATATGTCGTTTAAATGACACTTTGATATTGTTGATACTATTATAAGAGAATTCGTTAAATAAATATGACCGAAGATAGATGTTTAACTTGGGAAAGATTTTCATAATATGAATAAAAGTACTTTTTCACTTTTCAATTACTAAATTAAATTGATGTGCAAAAACTTATTAAGTAGCTTACGACCGCGACTTCGTCCGCGTGGAATTAAAAAACAAAAATGAGTAACCTATGTTCTTTCAGACTATGCTCTACATCTATGTCCAATTTCATCCAAATCAGTTCATCCGTTTATGCTAGAAACTCTAACAAACATCCATCCATCTAAACTTTCGCATTTATAATATTACTAGCTGTTGCTCGCGATTACGCCCGCGTGATATAAAATAAATAGAAAAAATATACCCTATGACACTCACAGAATAATTACCTTTCTAAATTTGAGAGAATTTTTAAAATCGGCCTAGTAGTTTTTGAGTTATTTCAAAACATACAAAAATACAAATCTTTCCTCTTTATAATATTAGTATAGATAGATAAGTAAGAAGTAAGATATATTTTATTAGGATCTTTGTTTCCTTAATAATTTGCATACTCATATGCGACATACAACTAAGTGAAAGTATGTTCAATTTAATATTATCGATATTACTTAAGTTGGAATATTTACAAATCATTCAGATTCGAGTACGTGTAGTTGTACGTGTACTTGAGTTTCTAAAGATGACAGTGTAATTTTATGAATAACTTTCGAAACTGAAAGTCTACAACGATTATTACGTAATAATGGCAATTATAATTTAATTTCGGTTACTTAAATATGAAGTAATTTGAATTTTGATAAAGCTTACCTTTTATTAGTTTTAGAAATCAACAATAGATGGCGCGATTTACAGTTATAGTTAGTTACATACTGGATATTCACGTTTTTGAAAATAAATAATGTAAAAAAAATGTAATGAATAACACCATTCAAACACATCTAATATTTATTTAAAACCTAAACATTAAAAAAAATTAAGAAAGGTTTTGAATTATCAGAATAATCTTAAAAACTATTTAGAATAATAGATGTCGCTAGTAACTTAGAAGTGAACGTTCGGAATTTTCTTACACACATTACAGTAAATAAAACAAAAAGAATATCAGAATGTTTTTTCTGCATACTTCATAATCAGATATATAATAAATCGGCGAAATTTACAATCAAACGGTGACAGCAACATTTCATTAACCAATTAGAATTATTCATAAAACAGAACTAAAAAATATTGTCGTAAACATAAGAACAGCTGATGTACTTATAATGACTTACCCTATGCGAGGCTGCGACCTGCGCAATCCCGAGGGTCCCGGGCCGTTCGTCACCCGATTCATCACCGGACCTTTCACCAGTGAACACCGAGTCATGGGACACAGACAGCCCGCTGCCGTAAGCGCCCTCTCTGCGGACAAAATATACATTAATTTGACTTAACATTTACAACTGAAACTTGAAATTTATGTAAAGATAACCAATGTATTGTATAGTTTGATCAGAAATATAAACTCTATATTGAGGGAAACTATGCCACTAAATTCTTTACGTATCTAGCTGTTGCTCGCGACTTCGCCCGCGTGAAATTAAAAAATATAGCCTATGTTACTGATAACGTAGCTTTGTAATAGTGAAAGAGTTTTTGAAATCGGCCCACTAGTTGAGTTATTTCAATACATACAAAAATCCAAAAATCCTAACCTTTCCTCTTTATAATATTAGTATAGACAGATATAGATTGACATATCTACTAAAGAATCCGATTGGAGCGCCTTCGACAAGATTTTTTCTTGGTTAGGCTACAAAGTTCTCTGGTCAAAAACAATAAGAATTATATTTTTCGCCTGTTAAACTGGAAAGAAAAATAGTGTCGTGTTCGAACAAGGTAATTCAAGTACAAAATATCAAACCTTAGTATGCACTAAGTACTAATCTAAAAGCCCTTTTAACAAAAGAACACTAAAGTGATTGAATAATGACAAAAGACGACTCTTTGATTTATTTTGGAAAAGAGATAGACCGTGTCCCTTGACACTTTTATGCGGATGCAGCCACTCGGAAGTAATTAGGGGAAGTACACACTATGAGTTTTTGCAACGCGGAAAACTGCAATTAGAATGCAATAACAAATATTTAATTTGTACTCTTTTATCTTACTTACTTTAATATTATAAATGCGAAAGTTTAGATGGATGGATGTTAGAGTTTGTAGCCTAAACGGCTGAATGGATTTAGATGAAATTTGGTATAAATGTAGAGGGTAATTGAGATGGACACATCGCCTATTCACTTTTTTTTAATACCACGCAATTTAGTCGCGGGCAAAAGCTAGTATATTAATAAACAATAGATAGTTAAACATTTTAACCGTATCACGACTACATTATCGATAGAAACGCAAAACAAACCCTTTGTTACAACTCTATTTCGCATTAAAAAGTTTACAATGCACACACACCCTTAAGTTCTACGTCTTTGTTAGTTTGGGTGACAACTACACAAATTGTATTAACATAAAAGTGTAGACATAAGTGATGTGTCACGTCTAGACAGTACTCGACTTTATTGAACGGATGCATAGAAAATGTTTAGACAGCGTTTAAAAAGGGTTTATAATTTTAAGCAATTGTGCACTTTTTTGTATGCTAAACGAGTTTATTTCGCATTCTAGAGTGTATTAAAATAAAAGTTTATATTACTTCTTCCTTTCCACCCTTTTCTTAAAAGGAAAGGATGGGAAGAAAAAGTGGATTTGACGGTGGAGGAGACGCATAGGAAGGGAAAATTTCCTCTTTATGTGCGTCTCCTCCTCCGTCAATCAAGGGTAGGCAACGCATCTGCAATTGCAGATGTTTATGGGCAGCGGTCGCTTTCCATTTCAGTGGATGGTGGCCGCTTGCTCGTTTGCCATCTTATATTATAAAAAAAAAAGTTTATATAAAAATGTAAACATATACAATATGTGGGTAAAAATGAACACTAAAAATTATGAGATGAGGTAGTAAGTATGGGTAACGTAATGCAAAGAAATTCAAAAAATATATACAAGAAGCATAGGTAACACATCACTTTAGATATTTTTCGCATGATCCTCACTAACACCATCTATTGTTAGATCCTCAAAACCACAGGTACATAATTAATTGTATTTAAATTTTATTTTGCAACACTGTTTTGTTTATTTTATAACAGCTGGAGCTTATTATAATTTTGTAAAATGTCAATACAAGGACAAGAGATTGTGTACTATATTTGACAACTAACATAGTACCTATCAAAGAAGTTACCGGTGAAAAATGTTGTTCACTGTCTAGTCTATATACTTGTTAAATATCTTTGATGTAACGTTACATGTAACATCAAGTGTCAACTGACTTTCTGCGCGCATGCCTCTCAGCATCAAGCAGTTCGCTGGTCGAGCTGCTCTTCGGGTCAGGCTCCGCGTGGGGGGCGTGAGGGGCGCGCGCGGCGCTGCGTCGCCGGAACATGCGCCGCAGCCCCCGTAAGAAGCGACCCGTCCGACCTTCGCCTGGAACACACACACATCACTACTAAGATAAGAATCATCACACAAAATACACCGAAGTTTTTTCTTTCTCTATCTGTTTGAAGCTCAAAACCTACGTCACAACGGCGGATCGGGGCAAGGGGTCATGGGGGTCATGACTCCCCCCTAAGCTGGTTGGTCAAGAGTTTGACAGACTCGACCACGACTATGTGACTCCCTCACCCCGGCGCCAAATCTGGATCCGCCTTTGCTTCGTCAAGAAATTGTCAAATCAAACATTTATGCTAAATTTGACCTTTGACTAAACTATCGCACAACTATTTAGTTTCTATTTTAATCTTATAAGGTAATATGGTGCGCACTACTAGATTTTTAGTTATACAAAAACAGTTGAAGTAGCTACAAAACAATCGACAATCACACAAAAATTGTGCACTAGTTTACCGTTCTTACTGTACAATATTCGACAAGTGAAAATCAAATTTGGTTGTACAAAGTATAACACTTACCATTGGAGGTGTGCTGCGGCGGTCGGTAAGGCGGCTCCAGAGAGCCCTCGCGCACGCAGGACATCAGCCCCGCGCCGCCGCCCGACATCCGCCCGCCCTGCAACATATTAGATCCTGTAGTAACTGAGATCAATGAACTACCATATACGCTAAATATCAAGCAAGATCAAGCAGTTAGAAGGTGAAGACAGCAGGCGATGATAACATCTTCTTATGCTGGAGGTCAAAACCTACTTTGAGTAAACATATGAAATGCGAAAAACATCTTATCAGACCTTATTTTGATATCGGGGATTTAAAAAAAATGTAGTCAAGTTGTGTCTTAACCAATTTATGTGTTCCATCATTGTCAAGGGGAGAGCTAACCGTCTCCTTTCAATAGAGATCTTATCAGACCTTTTAAGAATTTATACTAGCTTTCGCCTGGAATTTCTCGTGGAATTAAAAACAAAGTAAGAAGGCTACTTGTCCTTCTAGACTATTCAACATCTGTGCTAAACATCGAGATCCATTCAACAGTTTAGGCTACAAACTAACGAACATTTATCTAAACTCTGCATTTATTACATCATTAAGAAGTAAGGGATTATTCCCAACCGTCATTCCGCTCTGTCCCCAGGTGGAGACAGATGAGAATAAAAAGTTTCATCCGTCCCACCTTGTGCGACGAGGGGACAGTTGGAAATAATTTCATTCCATAACGGTTCCATTTGTCACCTTATTGGTGTAAGTGGGACTAAAAGGTGGGACGGAAGAAACTTATTCTCAAGTGGGGACAGAGCAGGGTGACGGTTAGAAATAATCCGAAGAAAGATGCTATAAGACAATCAAATCATTAAAAAGCAATGTTCTAACGTTATCACTAATCGGAGTTCCCGCGTTACTTCGCAAGGTCAGGGTCTGCGCATTGGAAGTCAAGGACATTGTCCCGATCGATACGGATGCTGCGCGAAGGTCCCGCGAGTGAGAGGCACGGGGGAAAGAGATAGATATACCATTAACACGTCGTGTGAAATGACCCGAATATATTATCCTACATTAAATTTAACTCGAGCTTTTATACCCGTAAAAGTTATCTTACCATCTTGATCTTAGTAACATTATAAATGCGAAAGTTAAGATGGATTGATGTTTGTTATACTCGTAGTTTGTAGCCTAAACTGCTTAACGGATCTCGATGAAATTTGGCATAAATATAGAGGATTGTCTGGACCACCGCATAGGCTACTTGCTTTTGTTTTTTTTATTTTACATTCCATGCGTACCGAGTTGCGGGCGAAAGCTTGCAATTTATAACATTAGTGAGAACTCAACTCCATCCGCGTGGAATTAAAAAAAAACAATAGTAAGTAGCCTATGTGTTCTTCCAGATTATGCTCTAGATCTATGCCAAATTTCATCGAGATCCGTTCAGCAGTTTAGGCTACGAACAAACATCCATCTAAACTTTCGAATTCATCATACTAATATTATAAATGCGAAAGTTTAGATGGACGGATAGATAGATGTTTGTTAGAGTTTGTAGCCTAAACTGCTGAACGGATTTCGATGAAATTTGGTATAGATGTAGAGGATAGTCTGGAAGAACACATAGGCTACTCACTTTTGTTTTATTTTAATTCCGCGCAGACGGAGTTGCGGGCGAAAGCTAGTTTATAATATTAGTAAGATACTAAAGTTTAGATGTATGTATTGATGTTTTTAGAGTTTGCAGGTGAAAGTTGATGATTGGCATCGATGTAGAGGATAGTCTTAACAAACATGTAGGTTACTAAGTTATTTTAAATCCGGACGGAGTCGCGAGGATACGCTAGTTGTATAAACAGAGATGGATTAAATGTAAACACGGGTACACGTAACTTGTGTTAAGCCGCAAGTTGTTTACGTTTGAAAGGCTCCGTTCCCGACCTAAATGGATTACATCAGCCTCTAATGCGATAATTCTTGATACATATATAAGATAAATAATTATTTAGATACTAGCTTTCACCCGCGACTCAGTCCACGTGGAATTAAAAACTAAGTACCCTATGTGTTCTTACAGACTGTCCGCTTCATCAATGCCAAATTTCATCGAATCCGTTCAACTGTTTAGACTACAAACTCTTACATCCATCCATCTAAACTTGCGCATTTATAATATTAGTAAGAAGTAACTTTAAAATCCTTTTTTGTATCGATCTCAAGGATCAAATAGCTTAGTATTACCTTTAGTAACCTCGAGTGCGGGGAGATTTTCATTAATAAAAAGCTTTATCCAACTAAATACTAAATCATATGATGGTTGCATGAAATAGAAAACGAGCAGTTGCAAGATTACATAACCCTTGCAATGCTAAAACGTTGCAAAGTTCAGAAACTGAAATATTACTTGGTTTGGGAACTGGGTTTGTTGATAGTATTGCGTGCTATTGTTAGAAGTTTGGTTTATTTTTCTTGAGTCACGAATTGTCTTGGTGATTAAGAGATAATAAAACTGTGTAAGAAGGAAAAAAATAAATGCGAAATGTTACCGATAGATTGTTATTATAGTCAGTTTATATTTTTAAGGTGTAAGATTTATTTCTAGTCAGTTGTGAAATGACTGTATTGTTATTCGTACTTCAACACAACTTTTTTTTGTGACTGAATCGCCACTGTTGGCCTTGAGGCATTTACTGATTCACCGGGCTTGAGGTGGCCGAGCGCAGATTGCGCTTTGCCTAAACCTCGTTTATGAGTAACTAAGCTCGAGGGCTCCCTCAGGAGCCTCGGCACGAGCCGTTCCTTCGTTATTATTACCGGATTGGGAGGCCACCGAGCTCTTAGATCGCTTCGGTGGACGCTCTATGGAGTGACTAGGCACAAGGGCCCCCGAGAGGGGTTCACAATTTTTATATAGTGCACGTTTATAAAGAATTTCAATGGAGTGGAAAATTCTTTTGTGTATTCATTCGTAAAGCAATATAACTTTAATAAATCTCCGAAAGCTTAAGCGTTAAACTTATAGATGAACAAACATTATTGCTTATTTCTTAATAATTATGGACGTCTTGAAAAAAATAATAATAGGATATTATTACTACATTATTAAGCAAGGATAACAATATTTAAGTGAGCCCAAACCGTCTATTTTTTGACATTTTTATATAAGCAAATTTGCTGAAAAAGTTCTTCAAACTTGGACTTTAATATGTGACTTAAATGAGCCTTTTTCCTGTTGTATATACAACACAAACACGGCCTAATACTGAGACTAACTTACTCATAAACGAGGTTTAGGCTAAGCGCCATGCGCTCGGCCACTTCAAGCCCGGTGAATCTGTAAATGCGTCTTCAAGGCAAACAGTGGCCATTCAGTCACAAAACTGAAACTAATGTTAGTAACTAACAGACGTCAACATATAAATGGAATCTTTAAAAGCGGCCCTATTATTTAAGACGCTGTTAAATATTTAATGCTAAGTTGCTGAAGTTTCCATTTACCTTATACCTAGTTATTCATTAGTTAACTTTAAGAGTAAAAATTACGTAGTTCGGAAACGTTAATAAAATTATCGAACTAAAAACCCGGCAATAAATGTCGTTTTAGTAACGGTGGATAGTAACATAGAAAAGTAGCACACGTATTAATGAACCTTAAAGACCTTGTAAAGAGAAATTAAACATCATCATCATCACCAGCTCACTATAAGTCCCTACCGAGAGGCTCGGAGCCTAAGTAAGGAGTGACTAGGCCATAGTCAACCACGCTGGCCCACTGCGGGGTGTTGACTTCACACATATCTTTGAATTTCTTCGCCGATATGCGCAGGTTGCATCACGATGTTTTCCTTCACCGTAAGAACGTAGGGCAAATTATGTACATATGAAAAATCGAAAATCACATTGGTACATGGCGGGATTCGAACCCAAGACCTATAGATCACAAGTCAAGAGCTTAAACCACTGAGCCACCGACGCTCTAGTAAATTAAACACATCGTTTAAACAAAGACAAAAATAACCCAAACACCTGGAGTTTGTTTGGGAATTCCGATTATCCAGTAAGGGGGTCAAGGCAACGGATGAACAAAGAATCGCTTTAAATACATACATTAAATTTGTTAAGAAACGAGTTTTTATACGAAGAGGTAACAAACTAAAACTTAACTAGCAATTGTGCGATTGTCGATTGTTTCGCAGCAAATTCAAAACTGTTTTTGCACAACTAAAAATCGAGTGTGCACCTCCATAGCTTATAGGAATCAAACCGAGACTAAACAGTTCTGCGATAGTTTAGTTCCAAGTGTAGGCAGCGCACCTGCAATTGCGGATGTCTATGAGCAGCGGTCGCTTTCCATTTCGGTGGATTCAGGTGGCCGCTTGCTCGTTTGCACCTTATATTATAAAAAAAAAGTGTGCGCTCTTAATATTGTTTCATTGTTTTGGAATCACGTATTTTGTAACTTTCATAAAGGAACTATCAATTAAAAAAATCTGTTAGATGAACATTAAAAATTTTCTCTTCCTATTTATGACTTTAATATATGTTGTAGGTATTAGAAATCTTACTTCTTACTTATATTATAAATGCGAAAGTTTAGATAGATGGATGTTTGTTAGAGTTTGTAGGCTAAACGACTTAATGTCCACGAAACTTGGCATAGGTGTAGAACATAGTTTGGAAGAACACATAGGCTACTTACTTTTGTTTTTTTTATTTCACGCGGACGTAGTCGCGGGCGAAAGCTAGTCGTATATAAATTACAATTTTGGGTCAACTTTGCAACAACTCTATAGATATCAGGATTATTGTTATAAAATATGCAACAAGCCTTGAATATCTAACTAAGAGCAGGTGTGCTCGCCAGAGTAATAGGTTGATTCCATTTTATGTGTAGAGGCTAAGAGCTTCCGAGTCAGTTGGTATTTTAAAGAACAGGATATATAGGGTAATTTATTCATTAACAACGTAAATGCTATAGTTTTTATGGATGAAATTTGGCATACAAGTATTTTTTATTCCTCGGGGACGGAACCGTGGGTCAAAGCTAGTTTATACTAATATTATAAAGAGGAAAGATTTGTATTTTTAGATTTATGTATTTATGTAAATAACTCAAAAAATACTGGGCCAATTTTGCTTTCTTGATGTTGGCAACAACTTATGGTCTCTTTCCCACATTAGGGTGAAAATATATAGCTTAAAGCAAGACGTAAGTGTAGGGCTTTTCATTAAAAAAAGAGTTATTCGTAAATATGCTGTGATTGCTGACATCTTAGGCAACAAAGAAGTGTGTGTTTACGCTTTATTATAATAGTATAGAAGTATAGATTGGTATTTAATTCTTTCTTCTTTATTTAATTCCGTGTGTATTTCAATATCCCACTGATAGTATTACAAGAGGAAATAACGTAAAGGAAATGCGGTACGCGGATGAAACTTGAAACTCGTACTCATTACTTTCTTTTTATCAGGGTTACCAGCTGTAATATTATGTTTTAATTTTATGAGGTAAATGAAATATGAAAAACCAGCTGTTGCTCGCGACTTGTCCACGTGAAATGAAAAAAAAACATAGGCTATGTTACTCAATGATAACGCTTTTAATGGTGAAATAATTAAAATCGACCTAGTACTTTTTGAGTTATTTCAATACATACAAAAATACAAATCTTACCTCTTTATAATATTAGTTTAGATAAAGTTATAAAAAAGTTGTTTACGTTGTAAATTTATACCTTAATTTTAGTACATATGATAAAAAAAACTTAGTTTTTGGTTAAAAAAACGTCATAAATAAGTCCAACTCAATATATAATTAACATTAACCTTGTACAATAACTTAGATTTCAGTCATTGATAACTTACCCGTTGGTTTCAGGGGTGTGTTTGGAACCCGGCTGCCATGGCGACCGGCGACCCCGAGCGACCTGCAAACAAGGAAACCATTTCAATACAACGAAAACTTGTAATTCGACGATTTTATACCCTGAACAATTCTAGGTAAAATACAAATAGACAGGTTTTACGATCTATCACTGACATGAATAAATTGTTTGTTCAATTTTTCCCAAGAAATCCCGCCAAACCGCTAAAACATTTTTCCTCAATAGACGCATGTGAGCAGATAGGTGATGACATAATTTTCCGTTAAGATTCCTGGTTAGAAAAATCATAATTAGTAAAAAAACACTATTAAATTGTTTAAACAGTCGTGAAAAATTATTATAACTAGCTTTCGCCCGCGACTCAGTCCGAGTGACATAAAAAAACAAAAGTAAGTACCCTCTACCTTTCATCAAGATCAGTTTACCAGTTTAGGCTACAAACATCCATCCATCCATCCATATAAACTTTCGTATAATTGTGTAAGAAGTAAGATAGCTAATTATTAAAAAAATCTTCAGATAAACCCCCAGTTCGAAACTAGTCGTGAGTGTTAACCTTATTATAGTTAAAACAAGGTATGTATTGTTTTTTAAGTAATTTGTGTTCCATTATAGACTCTGTTACAGGAAAAAGTACGTCTATTACAACACCTAATTCAATTAGATAGATAAAAGAAATCCATTTTGTTCCAAGTCTGTTTCTCTTCATTATACAGTCGTGTTGTTTTAATAAGATTAACTGCGGCCACTATGTCTTTGTTAACACTTTCTACTATTTCTCTTTCCTTACAATTTCCTATTTAATTATTATCTACATTTTTTTTCTCTTTATTTTTGAAAGGGATTTTGGTTCCTTAAAACATGTCAGTCCCATAATACCTTAAACTAAATACTGAAACAATACAATTATAAACAAACACAATACAAAATAATAAAGTGAAAAATAAATAAAAACCAATAATAGTATTAACAAATTGCTACAAAGCCTTTAACACCATGTAGCTGACTTCGTCTGCTAGGTCCGTCAGTGGCTCGGTCAAAGCAGACCGAAATCCATCAACATGGTGTCTTAGAAGTTTGTGTCTGTTATACAGTGCCTCTCTCTCACTATCTTCATTTATTTTGTTGCAATTGCATCAAGGAAAGATCTGCTTTCAATTTAAAACAAAATTATAGCCAACTAAAAGAGAACTATAAGATAATCTTACTAATATTATAAATGCGAAAGTATAGATGATTGTTAGAGTTTGTAGCCTAAACTACTCAACACATATTGATGAAATTTGGCATTGCAGAGAATAGTCTGAAAGAACGCATAGGCTACTAAGTTTTTTTTATTCCGTATGGATGGAATCGCGGACGAAAGCTGGTTATTTAAATCTCCTGCAGGCATTTTTTCTTTAGTGTCACGCATATCTTTCACAAAATCTATCGATACTTTTATTTCGTTTGTAATTTTTTTTGTGACTGGATGGCCACTGTTTGCCTTGAAGAGGCATTTACAGATTCACCGGGCTTGAGGTGGCCGAGCGCATGGCGCTTAGCCTAAACCTCGTTTATGAGTAACTGAGCTCGAGGGCTCCCTCAGGAGCCTCGGGGGGAGCCGTTACTTCGTTATTATTACCGGATTGGGAGGCCACCGAGTTTCGTTTGAAAGTTTATCAAGATTTCTATTTTACTATACTTAGTCAATTTCTAAACCATAAAGATACGATATTCCGTGTTTTTTTACTGTGACCGATTTCGAGGTCGCAGTAATTTATGAAAAGAACGAAGACAAAAGCAATAGACACAAAAATTGTAAAGTATAATCAGCGACTCGGTTTATTCAAATCCGGTCCCCTCTGAGCCGTAATTTGTTTTTCAATGGCATCGAGTTAGATTCCGCTTCAAAAATAAAATATTCACGCTCTCAAAATCTTAATTACGAATTACAATGATGTTTGCCAGATGACGACACGAAACGGTACAATTAAATTATTATTTTTAAACCAGCTGTTGCTCGCGACTTCGCACGCATGAAATTAAAAAGAAATTATACAAAATATAGCCTATGTTACTCACTGATAACGTAGCTTTCTAATGGTGTAAGAATTATTAAATCCGTCCAGTAGTTTTTGAGTTATTTCAATACATACAAAAATACAAATCTTTCCCTTTTTATAACAATAGTATAGATATTGAAAACTGCATCAAAATCCGATGCGTAATTTTAAAGATCTAAGCATATATACGGATACGGTTGTTGTATTGACTCTTCATATAAAACTCAATGTTGATAACAATAATATTTGAATGCCTGACATATATAAAATAAATAAAAAAAACACTATTTATTGACCAAAAATATCAGAAAAAAAAAACAAAATTTACAAAAAATATCAATGAAATAAAAAAAATTCTTGGCAAAACGGAGAAGGCTCAGCTGATGTCTTCAGCTTGTCACTTACCGCCGCGTTTTTAGCCCCCCCCCCCTTAACTTAAGTAAACTATGTTTTAATCTATTTGTAGGTATACGTGACTAGATAAACCGATGACCTAGATCCGGCGAGCTCGTTGTCACGCCTCGCTGGCTCCCGGCCGCTTTCATCAAATATACTTTTAATCCCATTTTTAATTAACAAGGTTGTCAACCATTTTTATAATCAGGAAAAGTATTTAGTCCTTTATCCAAATGTGACTAGAGTAACCACACTTCTTTCGCTTTTGTACAGTTAAGGACAATTTAGATACTACAAAACTCACAGATGACATCGGATGTCCATATCAAGCAATAAAGTTGAGGAATTATAAATTGTAGAAGAAGTGGGATTTCCTAAAACCAGTTTACGAGAACAGTTTGGGAACTTTCAGGCTTAGAATTCATGTACAAAGTTATCCTTAGATGGAATAATGATTCAGTCTTGAACGATAAGCATTGTATACATAAACCTTTAAAGGCCGAATACTGAAACGAATCTATACTATTATAATAAAGCGTAAACACACACTTCTTTGTTGCCTAAGATCTCAGCAATTACAGCATGTTTCTGAATAATCCTTTTTTTAATAAAAAGCCCTACACTTACGTCACGCTTTAGGTTATATATTTTAACGCCATTAAACTTAGGGGGTAAATATTTTGGATAAAAATTCTAATGTGGGAATGAGACCATAAATTGCTACCAACATCTAGGAAGTAAGGTTGCCGTGGTTTGTCAAGTCATTTACCATTGATAATTTGACAAATGTAAACAATAAAATAAAGTTTTTACATTTCTATGCGGATGGAGCCGCATGGGAACAGCTAGTCTTTAATATTACGCTTTTGACGTCAACATTTTAATAGATTTCGAAATAGTGGCCTTTAATGTTGTTACATATTTAAGTCGTTTCAGTACACTGCCTTAAGAGTCTATAAGACCAAATGATAAAATATAGGACATTTTTCTGTTTCTTCGATATGGCAACCCTAGCCAAGTCCCTACCTTAACGCTTGCTCGCTCATTTTTTGCTTGAAGCCATTGAACTACCTTTACTTGTACCGCTATCTGTTTCAGTCATTGAAACCATTATTGTCTAAACAATAAGGTACACTTTCGTTTGTTTTGTGTTGTGAAATAACTTGGTAATTGTTTTCCTACGTATTTTATCTGTAAGTTCAAGGTTTGATGCACCGTTTGCTCGGAGTTTTTACCTCGATAGAGTTATTGTGGTAAAATGTACATGGAATACGTTTTTACGAGTTTAACATTGTACTATAAATAATGTTTAAAAATTTCTAATATTAGCGTTTGAAGATATCGAATAATCTAAGACCCTTCGGAGGTCCATCACAGTAAGCGATTATTGACAGTCAAACTAAACTCGCACATGCGTAAATTATTTCTTATTCGTGTTTCTATTTTTTTTTTATAGTAAAAGGGGGCAAACGAGCGGCGTGTACACCAAGGTGGTCAACGACACCCATGGACATCCGCAACACCAGAGGAACTACAGATGCGTTGCCGGCCTTTGGGGAAATGATAGGCTCGCTTCTTGAAGGACCCTAAGTCGTATTGGTTTGGAAATACCGCCGAGGACAGACCGTTCCACAACGCGGCTGTGCGGGGCAGAAAGTTCCGCGAAAACCGCACGGTTGTGGAATGCCAGCCATCGAGATGGTGAGGATGGTACCTGGCGGTCTGTCGTGTCGTCCGATGACGAAACTCGGCGGCAGGAATCGCTCCAAACAACTCCTCGGAACACTCCCCGTGGTAAATGCGGTAAAAGACGCAGAGGGAACTGACGTCCCTCCACAAGGCCAGAGGATCTAGCCGATCGGTAAGAGCTCGGTCGTTGACGATTCGAGTCGCTCTCCGTTGTATGCGGTCAAATGGAAGAAGCTGGTATTGGGGTGCTCCCGCCCAGAGGTGCGAGCAGTACTCCATGTGGGGCCGAACTTGCGCCTTGTAAAGTAGTAGGCGGTGGCCGGGCTGGAAATACTGCTTCGCCCTACTGAGCACACCCAGCTTTTTGGAAACCAGCTTGGCCTTGTCTTCCAGATGACCGCGAAACTGAACGTCACTCGATATGTCAACGCCGAGAATACCGATACTGGCTGAGGCAACCAGGGGAGTGTTCTCAACCGGAGATTGACGACGAAGGGGTCTTTTTTATTATATCTTACTAATATTATAAATAAAAATGTGTTAAAAATATTCTCTTTCGCAGTTTAGATGGATAAATGTTTATGAGAGTTTGTAACCTAAACTGCTTAACGGATGTCAATGAAAGGCGTAGATGTAGAGCATAGTTTGGATGAACACAGAGGCTTTACTTTTGTTTTTTAATTCCACGCGTACAGAGTCACGGGCGAAAGCTATATAAAATAGTGTGATTGAAATGAATGTATTCCATATAAAACTTCGTGTATAAAGTTTAGTAAAATTCCTACTTTCACATGGCAAGGCTTCACGTTAGCAATAAAGAGCCTGTCTCTGCCGAGGTGAGTGCATTGAGCTGGAAAACCTTCCCTGTACTTATGGATGTTTAGGGGTGTCAAAATAAGATTTTAAAAAGTT